CCAATAATCTGCAGTAAAGCAGGAGTCACACAGAGACGTCTTGTGTAGAGTATTTGCAGGCGGCCTGTAAACTCTATTTGAGTGATTTGTTGGTTTGTGCGAGCGTGAGTGTTTTCATTTCCACGGGATCCTCTACTTAGAGAAGTTTCATTACATGACCTCTGGATATTTCTGTTTAAATACTGGATGTATTTGTAAACGCAAGCCTGTCCAGGTGTTGTAGAGCGCTGTACAGTTTAGGAATAAGTGTCACGACACACGTTGACATGGATGTCTGTTGTTTTTCTCTACGCTCTCCATCATCTTCATTGCTCTGGAAAAGTAAAATATGTCTTTTCCAAATCCCACGGTCAGAAGATGTATTAATGCGGAGGAGGATGTAGACATGTGGTCAGGAATATTGTCCAATATTAATATCATTCAAATGTCTGCCTGTAATTTACTGAAACGTGATGCCAGTGAGTAATTGCGCCTGAAATAGTCTTCTCTTGACAGCACTTACACACGAGCTGTTCAGAACGAGTCCAGCGCTCATCACTTCATCTGATGGGGAATTAATATACGCGCCAGACGTTTCATTTGTTTCACACGATCAGTCGGTTAAGACGGGAATCGTTTGACCTTCACTAAGAGAGAAAGAAATATGTTAACTGCACTATTAAGCTTTTCACTCTACAATGATAACAAACTATTATAATAGTTTACAGTAACTATCATAAATGCATCTTTATAGCATTTTTGCGCTGGATAAAGGTGCGTTCACACCAAGAACGATAACTATTAGCGATACATTAGCGTTTATTATAAGCGTGCTGCAGTTTTATCGTCTGTCACTTTAAATGCTGGCGCTGTTTAAAGCAGGATGGATTCTGATTGGCTGTCAATGTTTTTATCGTTGATCAGCTGAAAAAGAAACTACATTTTAAATGTAGTGCAGTCAAACGATTAATCGCGATTAATCGCATCCAAAATAAAAGTGTTTGTTTACATAGTATATGTGTGTGTACTGTGTATATTTATTATGCATATATAAATGCACACATACAGTATATATATTTAAAATATTTACATGTATATTTTATATACATATATTTAATATATAAACATAACATTTTTCTGAAATGTATACATGCATGTGTTTGAATTTATATATACATAATAAATATACACAGTACACATACATATATTTTGTAAACAAAAACGTTTAGTTTGGATGCAATTAATCGCGATTAATCGTTTGACAGCACTATTTAAATTATTTAAACCATATCTTCTTCTGTGTTGTTGTTATATTAATGGTTTGCTATTGTTTTAAACCTCTCAAGGTCCGTTCACATCAAGAACGATAACCATGAACTATAACTTTATATTGTCCACACCTGCAGCCAATAACGTTCTATTTATAATAAGAGCGCTGCAGCTCGCGCTGTTTAGAGCAGGATGGATTCTGATTGGCTGTCAGTCTTTTTGATCTTCATGATTCAAATAAGTAACGCGTTACTTTTTTTTCCAATTTATTGATTGACAGCTCTGGTGTCGCCATGGTGACAGAAATCAGAAGATGTTACTGTAGTTCTAAAATAAATATGAATATGCATTAATTCATCTCACACAAAAAACTAAAAAACACAGATTCAGTATTCCTCAAAATGAATACAAATAATGCAACTCAGAATATGACGCAAACCTGCAATAATTAAATGTTAAACAACACAAATATTCTTTATGTATTTAATCCCATTCTATTTGCTTCTGATGATCCAGTTCAACCGTACTAATCAGCACAAATTACTCTAGACAAACATTTGTGTCTTTATTATTGCTGAAGTGTAAAAATGTCTTCTTCTGCATTCTACTGTACGGACTTAAATGTACTTTCCCTTCAGCCTGAGGCTTATTCATTTCACTTTTGGTGTGAAAAGGCTTTTATATTTGCCAAAAATATAACTTTTTTATTTTAAAAACAAA